TGTACTGGAAAACATGGCAGTTACTTTTATAGGTTGCACCAACTTGTTCAAGAGATGTACATTCTCCAAAGGGGAAGTTCTTAGATATCTAAATCTAGTTGAAAACCTAGAAAATCATCAAAGAAATGGAGATACTCTTTTCTTGATAAACGAAAGTGCAGATAATATCCCGTCCTCCCCTTCCCCAAAAAGACTGCCCTTCAAACAGCACGCAAGAGCTAAAATATGAATTAGAGTACAATTCTCTCTTTCCCTTAGATTTCACCTTTAGGCCACGTAATCATGAAGCTCAAGCCACAAGGCAAACATGAAGCAAACTAGAAAAGCTAAAAGATTTAAAATATGAATTAGCGTACAATTCTCTCTTTCCCTTAGATTTCACCTTTAAGCCACGTAATCATGAAGCTCAAGCCACAAGGCAAACATGAAGAAAACTAGAAAAGCTAAAAAGAGGAACAGGAGAGAAAGAGAACAGCAGATACCAGAAGGCTAGGTGGAAAGAATGCCCTAGTTGATTATCATACAATCAATTAATTAAATGAACCTGACATTAAGAATCTCAATTCTGTAAAACCTCACCTGCAGCACCCACAAGCTAAGCAAAGCTTCCAAGCAGAAGAAGGCAAATCCAATCAAATAAAAGATCTGCAAGAAGAAGAAGAGAAGGACAACACAGGAATCTATCAAAAAGATAAGATCAAACAGCCTGATAAGCTAATACAGGCATTAACACTATATTCTCTTAGGAGTTTTAATTATCTAAAGAAAGCTTTTGATCCACTAAATCTAATAACAAACTAACTGCAACATGCAATGAGAATATCAAAAGACAGTAATTCAAGTAAAAGTCAGTGCAAAAGTTAACTCAGACTCGATCTGTAATGAGAATTGAGGGCTTTTCCCCTTATATCCTTTTCACAATAATACTTGGAAGGGCAGTATCTACTACCCAAGAAGGCATTCAAATATTTTGAAGCGCCAAGAAGCATTTAAATTGTTGGAATAAAACAAGCATTCCATCAGTTAGAATAGAACAAGCATTCAGTAAGTTGATACCAAGGCAATCTTTTAATGTATGCTAATTTATATAGTGCCAGCACTCTAGAATAACCATCCTGGTTTTACAACTGAAATTGAAATTTTCATACTGAATGAGTTCCTGTTAGCATAAATGATGAGTAACGTTCATAGAGAGCCACATTTTTGTGCAGGCTCTCTATATTTTATAGACGACGTGTATGCCATTTGTTCACAACATCAATAAATTGTTATATCAAGAGACAGCCGCAATTATAGTACACAAATTCATCATTCAGAATTTTTTAACTTAAAATTACTATTTAATTAAACTGAGAGGGTAACTTATTAGTTAGTTAGTAAACCAAATACTGCCCATGTACTGAATGCATCCAATGGTTTGTGTAAGAACATTGGGGGAGTTCCAAATGCGGCTTTTGTGCTCAATGTATCTACTTGCTCCTCTTCAATTTTTCCCTTCTCTTCTTGCTGAGTAGGAGCCCCCTCTTTCTTTGGGATGTGTTGGAAGATATGCTTCCCCTATCTGT